GATTCAGTAAAAGATTATTGTGCAGATAATGACTGCAGACAATGAAGATATAATAAAAAAATAATGTCTTTAAGACGAATATACATGAGAAAGTAAATTAAAATGATAAAACAAGGCAGATAAGGGACTGCAGACAATGAAAATATAAAAAAGCAATAATGTCTTTAAGACAAATTTACATGACAAATTAAAATTACAATGCAGACAATGAACTGCAAACAGTAAAACATAACAACAATATGTGTCTTTAAGACGAATTTACATGAGGAAATAAAATAACATGATATAAATTTGAAGCAGATAATAATCTGCGAACAATGAAACATTAATAAAATTAATAATGTCTTAGAGACAAATTTACATGACTAACTAAAACAACATGATAAAACACAAAGCAGATTATAAACTGCAAACAGTGAAACAATAATAGAAATAATAATGTCTTTAAGACTAATTAACACGAGAAACTAAAACTACTTGCCAAAAACAAAAGCAGATAAAAATATGCAAACAATGATGAAATAATCAAAACAATAACGTCTTTAAGACCAATTTACATGACAAAATAAAATAAGATGATGAAAACATGAAGCAGATAATAATCTGCAAACAGTGAAACAATAACAATGCAACGTGTCTTCAAGACAAAACAGATAAATATAAATTTACACTATGACTTTATAAGGCATTGAACAGATTTTTAAAACAATAGTAGTCAATTACAATTGCCGTATACACAATCTGTAATATTGCCTGAGCAATGTCATGTAAATGGATGATATTGCTTAGGTATGTTACAATATTAATCTTAAACTGACAACGGACTTAGCATGCAAGACAAGGACAAAGGACAACGGACTTTGCATGCAAGACAAGGACGAACTAATTAATAATACAGTGAAACAGTAAGTCAGTGAGTACAACATTAGACAGCCTAGAGCTAGGCAAATGAAAAAATTATCATTTCAGTCGATTCTTCTTTCAACTGAATTTGTTTTTTCTTTATTTTACAATTTTTAATTTATTTTTATTTTTTTGTTTACATTTTTTGTTTTTTTTAGTTTTTTTATTTTTTTATATTCTTTTTGCAGTTTAATTTTTTAAAGTTTTCTTTGATTCCTTTGATTGCGTAATTTCATCCGCTGTCTTCTGCAGCTGGTTTCTGCCGTCGATCGCGGGGATTCAAGATCGGGATTGTTTTGGAATTTCGACATTATGTTTCGGGATTTTGTCTCGGGATTTTCGTGTAACTTTCGGAACTGTCGAATAAGTTGTCATCTCTTCTGATGAATAGCCCTTCCAGAATGCTCATTTCAAACCTATCATTATAAAAATACATTAGTTTGTGGAGTCTCGTAGTGTTCACATGCGAACTTAAGTTCGGTTTTGTTTGGTGACCTATAACTTAAAAAATGAAAATTCCCGAACCCGCAAAGCGCCAATGGAGGTATTCCCACTCCCGAACCCGAAGTACTTCTTGTATAACATAAATCCCGAACCCATGTAATAAGACAATATTGTTGAAATTATATAACCCCTTTGGCAAATATAACCCTCCATTATCGGCGCTAGGAGCTGGCATAACCGCCATATGGCTCCTTCTTATCTCGGATGAAGTGGAATGCCCGAAAATTCAGGAAGGAGTTTAGAGGGCATTTTCTTCAGCCTACCTAACCAAATGGTCACCGTCCTACGCCGAACTTTTTTGTCGACGGTTCCCACTAACGAGAAACTCCGCTAGAATCGATTAATTGGCTAGATTTTGATGACAAATGATATCCATAAAGTATCAAATATTATCCCGAAAACTTCATTCAAGCAATTTAATCAATGGATCCCGATCTTGAGCCCGAGGTGTGTTTAATTGGCGGATTGCTTGATAAAATTACAGCACTGGAAAGATGTAATATGACAAAAGAGGACAGGATGAGATAAAGTATCATAATATGATCATTCAATGATGTTACAGTAATAGGAAATGGAAGACGCATAAGTGAGGATAACGTTTGCACAAATAAATAAATGAACAAATGCTTTGATACATGTGTAAATAATATTGATACATTTGATAAACATAGTCATGAAGAAAAGATATAAGCATTAATAATATTCAATGATAGCAATAGACATATATATCTCATCCCTGTACCTACGGCTAATGTGCTCGCTTTACTTAGGTATTTCTTAACACTTAAGTCAATTTATTGCTCACTGCATAATTGTTACTTAGTATATTTTCTAAGCTATCTTCCTAATTCTTACTAGCCATTATTTCTGATTTTTTCGTGTAACCTGAATGAGGCTACTGGCTCTGTTGTTGAAATTTAAAAATCATGCAAAAGAATGTAACCAAAGTTTTGTGTTGCTGGCTGGGTTGTTGGCGTTGTTTTCACGTATTGAAATCACAAATCCAATTGTTGTTGAACTGCTGTATCGCCGCCGTCCCTCTCGCAACGTTCCGTCTACGCGATGATGAGCTGATGCTCCACCCCGATTATGGCCAGGATATCGGGGTGGGCCTCCTTGAATCTCTTGATGAAGGAGCAGCATTGATCTGCCCTCCTCGCCTCCTCGGAGGCTAGGTGCCTTTTTCTGGGGTTAGGCACACTAGCCTCTTCTGCGGCCTCCTCTGGTACCGCGATGTGCGAGGCATCGCGGCCCAGGATCGTCAGCCGCTCGGAGGCGGCGATACGTGCCTCCTTGATCCTCTTGGAGGCACCAACGCACCTCTCGGCTCGGTGATCGTCCATGATTGCTTGGGTTTCGGCCGCCGAGAGGTGCTCTGGGGGCAGTATCACGACGTGGCCACACCACGTGCAGAGAGCTGAAACTCATTTTAGGTTGAATTTTGTGCTGACATAATAATGAATAATAATGAATCGATAATAATGAATCATATTAATGAATCGATCAACTATCAGAGCATGTATCATCTTCAGTTGTTGTCATATCAAGCGATTTTTTATCATTGTTACCCAAATTCTACTACTGATATTCTGACCGGAGAAAGCTAGTGCAGAAGTAAAAAAATCCAATGAGATAGGTGAAATGATAACTTACTCTCCAATTGATGACATGCGGCTCTCCGCACGTGGATCTTCCAAGCCGCAACAGTTTTAAAGGGTTGCTGCGGCCTGGAGCAGTTGGGTAGGCGGCACCCTGAAACGAATTCAATTGAAAGAAGGCATGGAGTATGTGAAGGTAACCCTCTCAATCATAGAAAGCCATTACTGACGTGAATTCACAGCGATCAGAAATACATCAATGGATTGATGATACTTTAGAGGGTTTATCTCCGCCAGAAAAGTATTCGTTCAATACTCCACTTTCGAACGCATTATTCAGTGTTATCAAGTATCGTTCGCTACTCGGATCATTGTTATTGGATGAATATCTCTTCAACATTGATGATTAAATAACATTTCAAATGAGCTATCATCTTAAGTCAACTTACAAATTTGTTGTTGATCACAAATGTGGTACGCCTCGTGCTCCGGTGCCGCCACCTCGACGCGGTGTTCCGGCCGCAGCTCTTCGATATTGTGCGGCCGGAACGGTTGGGGTTGTGGCCTCGGCTGCTCCTGTGGTTGTGCTGTGGGCTGTCTCCTCACGCGGCGGCTGCGCCTGAACTTATTATAATGATTTGTTGTTTTTTTTGACGATTCAAGCGCTGTTTCAGTGATGCATAAAAGATTCATTTCCATCAAAATTTACTTCTCAAGATGCCTTCCAAACTACGTAATTCTACGCCAACTAGGTATTGTATCTGAATGGTCATTTCAGATCCTACTCCAATTCAATTTCCCAATAGGATTTCGTCGTTTCAATGATCAAATATTCAAATATCCATCCATGTTCCATTGGTCCCAACAATTTTAGCAACTCGAACCGACTACTCTGTTAGTATAGACTGTATCTATCGACTATACGTTGTCCTACGCATTAGCAGCACTTTCGAGTACTTATCCAACAATAAGCAGACATATTCATCAGATAATTTACAGTGCTATTTTAGCGATTATACGATCACGAGCAGAATACAAAGAAAATTCAGAATCAGAACGGAAANAGGGGTTGGGGTAGGGGAAGGGGTAAGGGGTCGTTGTTAAAGGGTAAGAAAAGGTCCTCGAGTTCCTCGGGCTCTGGCTCTGGAATGGCGGGGCCCTCCACGCCGGGTGAGTGCTCCCTCTCCGGCAGTACCTGAAATTGCTGCTCGGTTTATTTGAGTCCTCATAAATCCGCTTACAATCGCTTAAGAATTCCATTCCATGAGGTCAACATGAAATCTGTTACTGCCAGAAACATGTCTTCATTTCGCTACTGCTATCTATACTATTCATAAATGTCATCTCCGTAGCACTATCGTTTCACAGTGCCCTTAATAACATTTCCCAGTTAACATTATTATTGCGATGAATAATATCATGTCTTCTGGAACATTCATCATGTTCATCGTTCCTGGTGATTGATTTTGATCTAAGAAACTTCGAAACGTCCAAAAATTTTCTCGTTAATGACCTCAATTATCATATGTCATTGCTGAAATAGTTCGATGGAAATATCATTCAGTATAACTTACGTCGATCCTCTCCTCCTCCACCTCATACTCCACCATCTCTTCCACACACTCTTGCGTCTCGACGTACTGAAATTCACGAAGTTGGTACTGATGAGAATATTTCAAGACTGGATTTTGACAAATTCCACTAATCAAATTGATTGGAGAATCTATCCGTGAAAACGCTTTTCGATTAATCGAATTATTCTCAGCTATCATCTCTTAGAAATAATCACAAATGTATGAATAAAAATCGACTGATTATTATCAAAGTCTCACCTGGGTCGAGGGAAGGCTGATTGGGACGACGTAGCAGGCATCTTCCCGTTTGATGATTGTGTATATTGGGCCTGCTACGCCGTATCGCAGCGTCCTGGCCTGTGGTAGGACGACCAGGAGCTGCACGTCACTCATCCGGCAGATTGCTTCGATGAGTAGGGGGGAGGGCGCCCCCAGCCTGGCCGCTCGGACTAAAATGACACGAAAATCGAAAATTTTTCGCAAATGATACAAAAGATGACTAGAAGGTATCATCCAAAAGAGCTTTTCCGCATAACTTTTCCCCAGTCACAAGGCACATTCTTCAGATCGCTCATTCATCAATTACAGTATCTTTTTTCACTAATGAAATTTCGGATTCATTAAGTTTCAGTTCCAATATTAGATAATGCACCATCATACTATATCAAATGCCATAGGTTCGAATTCATACAATCATTGCGTGTATCATTGCATCATTATCAGTACGTCCGATTGTTAGTCTATGTTCAATTGTTATTTTGCTGCATTCTGACTACTCATTATGTGTGCGAATTCATGCTTGAAAACGTTCGTTTTGGAAAAGTTTTCAATTCGCATTCGCTATAAATTGTCATGAATTATAAGACAAATGAAAAACTGGCACATAACAAAGGTAGTATTACAAAACTTACGAATTGATTGGATCCCCTGACGGGGATGCGGCTGCCTCAGTGTGAACGGCCAGTTATTTCTGACCCACCATTCCAGATTTTGCAGGGCCGGGATGAATGAGAGAATTCCCAGCACCTGCAGTAGATTCCGGCAGAATACCTGCCCATGTCCCCCGGTCTCCTGGATGTCCCCGTGGAGCCGGGTCTCCTCGTTGCCGTTGACTCCATAAAACGCGCGGTACAGGTGATTCCTCTTGCGAATGTAGCGGTCATTTACGTTGCGGTCTTTCATTTTTTTAAATTCTGAAATGGATTCATCGCAATATAATCTCTGGCATACACTCAAGTAATATCACTGAGAGGTAACTCCGAAAAAATCTCATAACAATTTTGGGTTAGGGCAATGGAAATTGCATGTAAATCCGTCCAATGCTCAGGAATCGATGTGCAATGTTGATAATATGATGTTTTCTCAAACAGGAGACGTGGAAGACAAACGAAGGAATATTTTGACAAGAAGTGAAATATCCATGTGATTGCAATCATCTCCTAAGCGGGAGAAAGGTTGAGAGGGTCATGGATATACCGTGATTAGCATAAGTGATCGCGTGATCAAAATTTTCTTCTTCAGAGCCACTGCAATCGTTTCATTGAATAATTGGAAATGACCATTTCTAATGTTAAATGGAGAAAAGGCAGCTCACCGGTAATTTGAAACTTTCATCGAAAATCGCGATGCAGGTTTTTATTTTGGTACTTTTATTCGCTGTTCAGATTCCCATTCAAGAGAAATGACAAATAATTTGTATATCAGCAGAGCGGATTCAAGATTATCGTAGATAATTTGGGAGCATACGAGATCAGGTTTTTGTTTTCAGGCACTGTTGTGATCGCTATTCTCAAAAATCACGATGGTCAAGTCTCTAGTTCAGAAGAGACGCTTCAGAATCTCGAGATTTTGAAGCAGTGCACTATGAATATCAACATTCACGCATTATCAGGAATTATAAGAATTTTAGAATGTTTTCTACTGAAATTGGTGGTATGAGCACTACCGGGATGGCGCATGCGTTTTCGAACGCTTTTTCAATTTGTTCGCTTGAACAATGTGTGCGATGAAATTTTGTGACAATGCAAATAGTGCTGATCTGAGCAATCTGAAAGGTCCTCTCAGACAATATTTTAAATTTACTCAGCCATTTCACATGCTTCTTTCATAGGCTTTCCATATTTTCTTCCACAGATTGCGCAACGGATGGATTGATTTCATTAATAAGATGATGGCTGGAAAATCAAAAGACAGATAGCGTGCATTATGGATCGGATAATCATCACGCAGCAATCACTTCAAAGTGAGGGCACTGCTTTCGGTTATCATAAATGATATCGTCAATTTATTTCAGTTTATGGGTTCATGCATATGCTTTGGATATTGCATAATGGTTGTTTTTGTGGACATTTAGAATCATTCGTCTCCAATATTGGGCATAATCAATTCTCATACGGATAAAATCAATTTCAAACTTTAAGAATTCAGATATTTGTTTATTGCTTAATTATGCATTCAGTGTTTATGTTTTCATTTCCTCGCGAAAACTGGGCGCAATTCTTCATTTTCGAAGATATTTCTTCACTAGCCGTTTGCAAAGATATTATATTTATTTGAGAGCGATTCTCTAATTGTAAGAGATTTCTTGACTAGCGATTTTCAAAGACAATAGCAGAATAGAGAGGCGGATGCTAGAATTTTTGGCGTATTGTCCGATAATATTCCATGGTGGATGTCGAAGGATTTGCAAACTGATTGTATGAGATTTGTATGTTTAAAACGTTTCTACAAAATTTTTATATATTTTTTGCTACTTTTGTAATCAAGTATTTCTATGATCGCGCATTGTCAGTTCTCCAGTTACAATAGGAAGTTTTAGTTTCAACGTGAAAACTTTAGAATATTATGCAATCGTTTTACGGTGTTTTAAGCATTCTTTTTCCTATTCATTATCTAAAAAATCGCGTGTGAGTTTATTTTGAGACGAACTGATAGAAAACTCTCACATTTAGGTCAACAAAAATCACTTTAAGGTAGATGAAGAATAGAACGTATTTAGATAAGAAGTTGGGATTATAATCAAACACTCTCCTGCTTATCATTTAGAGTCTTGATGGGTGGAATGATGATGAAAGCAAGACTGGAAAATGATGCGCATTATCAACGGATCAAGAGATGTGACTAAGGAATATGACAGAAAATCACACAGCAAATACCACAATAATGAAACAATGAGATATTCAAAGAACATCATGAAAATGCAGATGATATGAATGAATAATAATCGAATTAAAGAAGATAAATCAAAAAATAAGGACTCGACTTCAGAAACTCACATTTTACTTTGAAAAAATCGCCTCGATTGCGATGTTGTTGCTGCTGCGGTTCTTTTCTTCTTCTTGATATCCAAAATTTTTTTTTGTCGAATCTGAAGTTTAAGAAATTATGCTAGGTAAAAATAGGGTAACAATCGAAACAACGTTAACGAAAATAGCACGACGATAGCACTGATATAGCGCTGAGGTGTGATTAGCACCTGAACGCTTAATTACTGAAATTGAAAAGGTTAATGTGGGTAATGAACGGCACAAATCATGAATTATTTCACAAATGAAGAAGTTCAATCAACTTGAGCAGTTTTCCTATCTTCCTACAGTGCTGAACTCAAAATTTCTTTACTTCAGGGTGAAGTGAGCATGCAAACATACCGGGGAATATGTTCAAAACGTGGATAAAACATTCCTATAATACACGCACAGATTGAAATTAGCAAAGAATCAATGTGAAAATATCTTCATGACGGATAGTCCTATCTGAATTTCGGAATTAATTGTCATGATGTTTCGAGAATGTTTGCGATGGTATTTTTTTATTAGTAATGAAAGAATCAAGGATTCATGCATCAACATGCATTGAAATGATAAGGTTAGGATGCGAGAGTCCATTTCAATCAATCGATTGATGCTTGAGAAGCGCTATACAGACTGATTACTTGGAATGGACATGGAACGTGACTTCTGAAATATGCCTCTGCTTACTGCATCTATTGGTATGACGTAATGCATGTGTTTATTGTGCACCTATTGTGTTGCATTGGTCAAGCAACATTG